CATTCCCCCTTCAGGACTCTGAGGCTCCTGGAAGTTGGGCCACTGACGGAGCCTCAGCTGAGCTCTGCTCTTAGAGTTGCCTTCAGCTAGCAAGCTGCCTCACCCACAGGCATGGTCCCTTCCTCGGGGACCTGTTGCATGCCAGGGCTGGTGTGAAGGGGAGGGTGTGAAGATTTAGCCCCCTTGCTTCAATTTGGGACGTCCCTGAAGAGTCATCTGAGCTCCAGATCATCCCCCGGGACTGTACACCTCAGCTTCTCATTTCCCCCAATTCGGCTCCCTTCCTTCTCCAACACGCTTCTTGTGTAAATCTCTCCGAGTCCGATGGGAGACAAGGAATTTTCAAGTAACTGGATCATGCATTCAGATCATAAGGAGGTGATAGACTCCACCATACAGAATTATATCTGGAAACTCACATTCTTCTGTCATTTTCTTCATATACTTATATGATCATATTTCTCCCGTTTTTTTTTTTTTTTCTTCAGCTGCTTCTCTGTGGAGCTGTTATTCATCTGATGTTGGACCTCTGGTTAGTCCTCTAATTTTTTAATCAAATTCTCTCCTATTTTCCATCCCCCCACCCTTCTTTCCTATACGTTTTAGGTTTGCTTGACTTTATCTTCCAGCGTCTCAACTGAGTTTTCAATTGTGCTCTTACATTTTTTAATTTCTAAGAATCCTTCTCAATTCTTTAATTTTATTTTTTATGTATTCTGTTCCTATTTCATGGATACACTATCATCTGTCCTCTGAAGAGATTCATAAGATTTTTAAAGGATGTTTCCTTTTCCCTTCATAATTTTTTCCATGTTTCCTTCTTTATTCTTAATCTTTGTTTACTTGTTTGAGCCTTTGTCTTCCAGGTATCTGGTCATCTTCAGTTGTGTGCTCATTTTTAAGAGAGAGACACTAAGAAGCTCTTTGGGATCTCCAGGCCCGTGCATAGAGCTTTTTGAGCATAGAATTCGCTGGGTGAATTCTGAGCAATCTGGTTATTTGTTTAGGGAACTATCAATGGAGTATACAGACTGAACGAGAGCTGAATATTTGCTCTGTGATGGTGAAACTTTGTGTGTCAACTTAGTTAACCTATGGAACCCAGTTGTTCAAAGACTAATCTAGATGTTGCTGTGAAGGTATTTCATAGACATGATTCACCTTTGCAATCAGATTACTTACCGTTTTATTAACAGATTATCTTTCATAATAAGGATGAGCCTCATCCAAATGGTTGAAGGCTTAAGAGCAAAAACTGAGGTTTCCCAGAGATGAATCCATCTAAGACTGTGACATAGAAACCCTGCTTGAGTTGCCAGCATGTGGGCCTGCCCTACAGATTTCAGGCTTTATTGGTTCTGTTTCTAGAGAAACCGACCGATACACACTATTTTACAATGTGATTTTGCTGCTCTATCAATCAAGAGGTGGAGTCTGTTTCTCTACCTCTTGAATCTGGGTTTGGTTACACGATTTGCTTTCACCAATGGGACATTAGCAAGTGTGATACAAGGAAGGGTGGGAAAAGCCTTATGGATTGGGGCTTGCCCTCTCCTGCCACTAGGGACGGTTTTGGCACCATATAAACAAGCGTGGTTAGCCTGATGGGTGATGAAAGACACATGGCTTTTCCAGCTGACATCAAGCCAACTGCCAGACATGACAGTGAGCACCTCACTAGACCAACAAGCCTGCCAACCAACTGACATGTGAATGAAGCTACCCCAGAACATCAAGCCCCAGATGAGCCGGCCCATAACAAAACCACTCAGCCAACCTCAAACTTACAAATAATAATACATGGTTTGTCTCAATCCACAAAGTATTGGGGTGGATTTTTGTGCAGCAAAAGATAGCCTATATAATCATCATTATGATGTCTTCGTTCTTGAAATGATCATATAGCCCAGATTATCCCCACCCATATCCTGCTTCTTCTGCCTGGCCGCCAGCATTCTGATTGCTGAGTAGAAGGCTGGAGGTTTCAGCATTCATAATGTAAATATTCACGTCATCCCCTGAATAAAATATGGACAACTGTGAAGTTCTAGAGGACACAAAGTGTCCACACAGAAGACTGCCCTCACTTCTGACAACAAGCGCAAGTTCAAGGGGCCCCCAAAACCACTCTCAGTTTTAACTATTTGTCAGAAGGACTCACAGAACTCACTGAAAGCTGTTATGTTCATGGTTATGGTTTATTATGGGGAAAGTATATAGATTAAAATCAGCCAGGAGAGGAGACACTTGGGGAAGAGTCCCAAAGGGTCTGAATGTCAAGATTCCAGTCATCCTGTCCTCACATAGTCAGGGACAATGTTAATTCCCAGCATCTATGTATGACAACACACACAGAGGATTGCCAACCAAGGAAGTTCACAGCAAAACAATCACCTTTGTCTGGGCATCTGTAATTACAGATACAGTATTTACTAACAAAGCAATGGTAAACAACTAATCAATTCACCCTATAAAGCCATGACATAGACATTCACCTTTTGGTGCTAGGTTAATTACTCTTTTTCTCTCTTGCTGTGTTGCTGTTTGTACCTTATAATAAACTTGTACAGAACCATTTAGCATAAAAGTTAGCTTATGGTTAGTTAAATCCATCCCCAAGCCAGTCATTTTATTAACCCTGATGAGGCTTTAATATATATATATTATATTGCTACCCATAAACCAAGCAGCTCTTTGTTGGTTAATAGAGAGTTGTTTATGTTGTTTATATGGCAATAACCAAGTGGCTTTAGGGTCCAGCAGCACGTCAGATGGTTCCAAATTCAGTCCTAAAGGAGAAGGAGCTCCCTGCTCCTCAGTACCTCTCCTTGGATTCCCTTGGTACCATTTCCTATATAAATGACTTCTTTTTTATTATGAAACTCTTCTGAGCACTCCCCTCCCCATTAGGATATTTTTTGACATTACCCAAGACATTATGGGTATTTCAAGATTATTTTATGTCCTTCAGTCACAGGAACAATTTCAATTAACGTCAAATAGCAAGCTAGGAATTGTCTTTCAAATGGGAATGTTCTGGAATTTTCAAACAGCAATCCCAGTGGTCATTGCTGGGTGGCACTCCCAGGCTTTTGTAATGAGCCCCAGTCCACACCCCACACCTCACCCAGTGTCACTGTACAGATAATATGTCTGCACTGCTATCCCTGTCAAATTAGGAACAGCCCACGTTGTGCGCTGTCTACTTAATAATGGCTGAAGGGTGGCTTTACGACACTTCCGTTGTATAACACTAGGGTAGGCGAAGCACTGACCAGTTAGACACAATATTCACCCCCATAATATATTCAGGTAATGAAGATACAACCACTTCACATAGTCTGTTCAAACATTTCAGTCTTCATCTAAACTTGAATCCCACCACCCATGTCATTCCCATATCCTCCCAATCTAACTGCAACCCCTGTTAGGACTTCACTATCTCTGGCACCAGGGTGCACGGGGCTCTCATGTCAAGGAGTCCCAGAAATATCATTCTTAGACTCCCTGACCATTTTACCCACTCATGTGTACATGCCCTTGGGTCCCCAGCTGGCGATTGGGTCAAGGGACCAGGCCCTTCTGTCAATCTTTAATGTGATTAGATTGTGGAATCATCACTCAGGCAATTCCAGGGTGGTTTTCCCATTTTCATCTTTGCCATCCGGCTTTTAAAATCCTTCCAAACTATGGCGAATAAAGCAGATTTGCTTAAGGCCCTTCAGTGTCAGGGGAAGAGCAGAAGCTCTCATCAGTCTGTTCAACTTCTGAGAGTGCTGCAGTAAGACCTTTATTTTGATCCCATTAATGTCTGCTTTAAACAAATAACTGTTTAAAGGTTTCTATCCTCCCGGCATGGGTTTCTTGCCTTCCCCTCTCCTTTCCCCCCATTATCTTGCAAATCTTGGCTATCTGTGGCTTCAGCTTAACTAATTCTTTTGGCAGAAGTCCTAAAATAACTCAGATTCCAATCTTGGCTCTGTCTCAAGATCCACCCATCATCTACCTTTCATTTTGGTTATTGGAGATAACAACAACAAAGGGATTGATATTTGTTTATTTCTTGTTACTTTGCATTTCCTTATGATCCAGAGAGCCTCCTATGAAACAAAGGAGGTAATGACCAAGTGTTCACAATTGCCCATTTCTTACCCTCTACTTTGCTTCACCCAACTGTAGGCAGGTTTTCCCCCACCCACAGCCCATAAATCTTGGCTTGCGCCAGGTTTAAACAAGCACACAGGTGAACACTGCCCCCCTTAACAGTTCAGTCTGAGAATCTGCTGACTAAAGAGAAAAATATTCCTGCTGGGTAACCTGACATTGCACCTACAGCCCCACCATCTCTTTCCCTCCTCACCCACATAGTCCCTGCCAGTCCTGCCCACCTCTGCCTATAAAAGAAAAGTCTGGTCTGATTGATGTCTGATGCTTGCAGATTTCTCAGATCCGAATGGTAGATAACTTCCCTAATATGAGCACCCTCGACATGATGAGACATAATGTCGGAGTCTGGCTTCCTGTCTGCGAGGCGGCAGGTGACGTCCCGGCGCTGTGACTACCGACCGCAGTGGGCGAGGCAGGAGCCAGCCTGGTGCAAGGGTGTGGGCGGGCGCCTGGACAAGGACGTGGTCTCTTTCACAACCGCCATATTGCCCACCCCAACCTCCCCGCCCCCTTCCCTGCTGCAAATTCACAATGGAGCCTGTGCCCTCACCGTGCCCAGCTCTACCCACTGTCCCCGGTCGGGATCCCAGACTCCTCCAGCCTGCCCTTCCCCACCCACCCGTGCCGTGGGCAGGGGCGGCAGGCCCTCTGGATGTCAGTGGCCTAAAACTGCTCTGCCTGGAGGGCTGGGTGGGGTTTGCACCAGGAGACCTTGATCCCTGCAGGCAGTTGAGGGGTGGAGTCCAAGTGGTCCTTGGTCCTGGCGGGACCCACCCATCGGCTGGGATGCGGTGACATTCAGCCCTGCCTGGGGGTGACAGCCCCCCCCCAACCTCCATGGCTTTCCCTAGAAGGGCATCTGCTGTGCCCACCCTCCTCGCTCAGTGCCCTTCCCAGCTTTTCAGTCTGTCGCCATCATATGGCCGATGCTCTGCGGATTTCCAAGCCCCTCTGCAGCAGCCCCTGGAGGAATAGGGGGGTGCAGCTCTAGGACTCCTTCACTGGCTGACCACGGTGGCCGCTGTTCCAAGCACATGAGAGGGAGAAAAGAGTCATCCTTACCGATGTTTAGGGTGCCAGCCCATCATGTGATTTCCGCCCCCCCCCCCCAGTTTTGGGAGGTCATCAGTGATGAGCATGGGATCGACCCCACTGGCAGTTACCATGGAGACAGTGACTTGCAGCTGGAGAGAATCAACGTGTACTACAATGAAGCTGCTGGTGAGTACTTGAATGTTTTTGCCCAGTCAACCTTGCTTTGCATACTGTGGCAGACGGAATGTACTAGGACAGACGAATGACAAAGACGTGCTTCTTGCATTCGTTTTAAATGTCAGCTGCTAAAAACGACACGTTCTAGAGCTCCTCACGACTCCTGCATGTCGGCCATGACTAAGCATGCTGTTATCTCCTCTTCTGAGGCAGAAAAGCACCTCTATTCGCTCACTTTTGTCTCAGATGCTAGAATGTTCTCTAATGATTCTGCTGTGAAAGGAGCATAGAGCACAGCCTTGTCTGTGATCCCTTTGCCCGCTGCACATCTAAGGGCGGCTCTGTTCCCCGCAGGTAACAAATACGTACCTCGGGCCATCCTGGTGGATCTGGAGCCGGGCACCATGGACTCCGTCAGGTCTGGACCATTCGGCCAGATCTTCAGGCCGGACAACTTCGTGTTTGGTATGTAGTCACGATCAGTGGCAACTGGCTCAGTGAGTCTCCCTTCTCAACACTGTGGAAGTCAGAGATCTTAGTGCTGAATGCCAAGGTGGAGACTGTGTGTCCACAGAGAGCCCTAGGTCCTGGCCTAATTCCACCTAATCCTGGGGCGGCCACTTCTCTGGCCCTTCTCTGGGCAGTTCAGAGAACAGTGTCAGCCTGCAGACGGCCCCTTCACTCCCCGACCCCCGCCCCCAACTACAGAGTAGCCTGTGACAGATGAAGAATACAGAGCAGTGACTAACCTTCCAGCAGGAGTCAGAGAACCAGGGCCAGCAGGTAAGCATGTCAGGAAGCCAAAGGCCAAAGGCACAGGTTATGACCAGACATGGGGCCAGCTGCCTGGAGCCCATCTTCTTTTCGGAACATAATGTGCCCTTGCCCTTGACCATTTATTGTACCTACTTTAGGTATGTTAAATACTGAATGCAGACCTGCACAAATGGGTCATGAACACGGTACCTTTATAGGCCCCTAATGGTGCCCAAGCTCATCCACACATGAAATGTCCTTCCTACAATCCCAATACTAATAGCAGAGGAACAGGAAGGGTGAGATACTTCTTAGCAGTTCCACAAAGAAGCAGGACAACTTCATATGAGTCACCTGTGAACAGATGAGGCTGCCCAGAAGCTGACGTGGTCAGACCTGCATTTATAGCTCCCAATCAAGACAATCGAACTAGTTCTGAACTGAAAATCCTGTTTCATGGGGCTGGGGGGAGGGAGTCCAGGAAGGGACTGGATATTTTAACTAGTGAAACAACACCTCAGGAATATGGAAATTACAGGTATCTGAAAAGTATGGAGAAGATAGGCATCATTAGCTAAGGAACCAAACCCGGACAATTGGCTGAAGTGTATGTGTCAACCGATATGAAGGAACTTTCTAAGGAATGTCTTTGTAGCAGATACTGTTGGTGCCTGCCCATGCTCCTGGGACACTCATTCTTCCTAGACTCCCTACTGCATGTCCTGCCCATCGTACCCCTCTGGAAATGAGGACTGTTGAAGGACAGACTAGAGGCTAAACAGCCCAGCTTCCCCAGCTCTTGGTGAAACCACTCTGGGTGATGGTCTGCTTCATCCCTTACAGATCCCCCAGCATGGAACCCTGTGCCCACCCCAGCACCTGCTTGCAAATGTAGCCTGGGGTCTTCCCTTTCCTGGCTCAGTTCCCTACTACCCTCCTGCTGCTTCCTGGAGTAAACTTCACTCAAACCCTTGTCTCAGGTTGGCTTCTGGGGGACTGACCTGAGACACTCACCAAAGAGGAGATGCTGTAGTTTTTCATTGCTAGGTAACAAGTTACCACAAACTCAGTGGCTTAAAGCATCACAGTTGTCTTACAGTTTCTGTGGTCGAGAGTCGTGGGTTTTCCGCTCATGTCCTCAAATGACCATCCTGAGCTGCTCCATCTGAAGCCCAGGGCTCTCTTTCATGGCCCTTGGGTGGTTGGTAGAATCCAGTTCCTCGTGGTCATAGGTCTGGGGCTCCTGTTTGCTTTTTGGCCGTTGATCAGAGGCCATTCTCTGCTCCTCGAGGTTGCCTTGAACATGGCCCTCTCCACTAGGTGGTAGTTCCTCCTTCAAGGCCAGCAGGAGAGGGTCTCTACTGCTTTGAAATTCTGATGTTCTCTTCTGCCACCAGCCAGAAGAAAATTCTCTGCTCTAAAAGGGCTCATGTGATTGGAGGAGGCGCACCCCCATAATCTCACTATTTTAAGGCCATCTGACTTGTAATCTTAATTATATCTGCAAAATCCCTTCACAGGAGTACCTTGATTCGTGTTTGAACAACTGGGAAAAAGTGTATATACACCAGGGCCGGGTGGCTCCCGGGGCTGTGTTAGAATTCTGCCTACCACAAACGGGCCGTTTGGGGAATCGAAAGCACATGGTCTATGAAACTGGTTCCAACATCTGAACCTATGTTCACAGAGTGAGTGATATTCCTACTTACTAGTGGTATGGCTTTGGGCAAGTACTCAATCTCTCTGAACCTAAGCTTATTTTTCCAAAAAACATGGTTATAATAGTATCTGCTTCAGAGGGTCATGGTAAGGGTTAAATGAAATAACGTCTGGAACGTACTGGTCACAACAGTGCAAGAGTTGGTGTGCAGTGAGCATCCCGTTAAGGAAGGTGTTTGAGGATAGGCTATATGACTTCTTGTTCGGAATTCTGCAAGGGGGAGAGGAACCAAGATAGATTAATTTTGGAATACCTTTTAATTTTAGAAAATGTGATTTCCCTTTTGACCAGGTCCCTTTTGAAGTCTATGGATCTATGTGAATATTCTTGGAAGAGTTAATATACTCATCAAAATAAGACCTTAACTGATTGGTATTAAATCGTTTCCTTGGTACAGAATTTCATAAGGGGATGGAGCCCGTGTGCTCAAATTTGGGAAAGAGTAGCAAGAGGTGGGAAAAAGAACCAAAAGAGAAACCTAACCGCTCTTAAATTTGCCTCAGAACTAGTTCCAATTCTGTAAGTTAAATTTGCAGCTGCAGGCGGCTACAGTGGAAATTTCTATCTTAGGCTGGGCTCAGAGTAGCAACATAAGATTTTTTGAGGCAGCCCTGCAGGTCGAGAGCCCATTCTAACTTTCTTCTCACATGTACTTCCTTGTTTCCTTGTCTTGCTTTTCCATCATTTCCTTTCAGCTCCAGTTTAAGACTGGACCACAGGTTCTGGTCCCAGCATTAATCTCTAGTCAGACTTGACAGTTCATTTGTTGACTCAGCTCCTGATCTTGCTGGGCCTCTTTATTCCCTTACTGTTCCTGTACTCAGCCTATAGTGGGCTCTCCCCACTGTGGAGACTCTCAGTCGGTGCCCTATTTTCAGCTTCATTCCTCCAACATCAGTATGGGCATCTCAACGGGATCCAGATGCCTCATTAATTGCAAAACTAGCCAACCTTAAAAGTCGTCTGTGAATCAGCAGAGTATTCCCTGAGTTAACAAAAATTTGACTTTGAAACATCCAGTACATAGGAATTTCTGGTTACACACTGCTTCTCTATCCTACAACTCACCAGAAGGCCTTACCCTCCCCTCTTCCCCCAACACACACACACCCCACAACCAAGCTGTCCTTTGCCAGTACACCCCTGTACTGATGAGGGGAAATGACTGGTCCAAGACTACACCTCCTTATTTTCACCAAGGTAGTTGTGCACACAACATGCTCCTCCCTTTCCTGTTTCTAACTTTTTTTCTTTCTTTCTTTCTTTCAGATTTTACTTATTTATTTGAGAGAGAGCAAAAGCAAGAGAGACCACAGAAGGAGAGGAAGAAGCAGAATCATCACTGAGCAGGGAGCCCGACACAGGGCTCAATCCCAGGACCCTGAGGATCTGAGCCAAAGGCAGATGTTTAACCAACTGAGCCACCCAGGTGCCCCTTCCTCCCTTTCCTCTTTCAACAGTCACAGCTCTGTTAAATCTCTCTCAGAGGATGCCTTTCCCAACATAATTGTCTCCATCTTCTTTAATCTCCTTCTTTCTTCTAATTATCAAAAAAAATCTCGTATTTCTTTGTAAATACTCCATTATTTACAGAAAATAATCTATTTTGTAAAATGTTTACACTAATTGTAATTTATGTTATGATATAAAAGTTAAGTTGCATTTGACTAATTGACATGCTATGTTTGGTAGACAGATCATTAAACATTTATTAATTTTTTCACAGTTTTCTTTTCATATTCATATTTTGGAATTTTATCCCTCCCCCTGCACCACTCATCTCGAACATTTTCTTAGGTCTTGAAAACTAGTAAGTGCTATGCTTGCAGTGGTAAGACAGTAAAATGGGTAAAACTGGCCTTGCTGACAAGATGAAAAGAGTGGAAATAACAACTATTCCATGTAATTACAAAAAACAAAAGAATATTGGCAGTGCGTTACTGAAGCATCACACTCTGAGTGTTCAACAAAATTCGGTACAAATACTAAATTTAACAAACTTAATCTACCACATATTTGAAATGCAGCCTATTACTATTTTTGTACTGCATGACAACCAGGCATGAAGAATAACTGATTACAAGAACATACAATGGGGAAAAGACCGTCTCTTCAATAAATGGCACTGGGAAAGCCTTAAAAGAATAAAACTGGGCCACTGTCTGGTAGCATACGCAAAAGTACCCAAGATGCGTGAAAGACCGGGATGTGAGACCTGAGACTAGAAAGGCAGCACAGGTAGCAATTTCTCTGATATTGGCCGTAGAAATATATTCTTGAAACATCTCCTAAGGCAAGGGAAGCAAGAGCAAAAATAAACTATCGGGATTACATCAAATTAAAAAGCTTCTGCACAATGAAGGAAATAATGAAACCAAAATACAACCTGCTGAATGGAAGAAGATATTTGCAAATGACATATCTGATAAGAGGTTAATCTCCACAACATATAAAGAACACACACAACACCAAAAAACAAATAATCCAATTAAAATACGGAAGGAGGCCTTGAATAGACATTTTGCCAAAGAAGACATCCAGATGGCCAACAGACACACGAAAAGATGCTCAACATGACTCATCATCGGAGAAATGCAAATCGGAACTACAATGAGCTATCACCTCACACCTGTCAGGATGGCAAAAAGCAAAAAGACAAGAAATAACAAATGTTGGCAAAGATGTGGAGAAAAAGGAACCCTCGTGCATTGCTGGTGGGAATGTAAATTGGTGCAGCCACTGTGGAAAACAGTAGGAAGGATCCTCAAAAAATTAAAAATAGAATTACTATATGATCCAATAACTCCACTACTAGGTATTTATCCAAAGAAAATGAAAACACTGATCTTCCCTGTTTATTGCAGAATTACTTGCAATAGCCAAGATATGGAAGCCATCTAAGGGTCCCTTGATAGATGAATGGATAGGGAAGGTGTGACGTGTGTGTGTGTGTGCGTGCGTGCACACACACACACACACACACACACACTGGAATATTACTTGGCCATATACAGGATGAGTTCATGTCATTTGTGACAGCATGGATGGACATAGAAGGTATTATGCTAAATGAAATAAGTCAGACTGAGAAAGACAACCACCACATGATTTCACTCAAACGTGGAATCTAAAAAAAAAATGAATAAACAAACAAAGAAAAAGCAGAATCAGACCTATAAACACAGAGAACAAGCTGATGGCTGTCAGAGGGGGTATAGGGAGTGGGACAGTGGGACACACAGGCTTCCAGTAAAAATAAAATAAAACAAAACTGATTGCAAATAAATAGTAGTATTTCTGCACAGTCAAAGCAAGCATTTCTGGCACTTAGTTGGGAAAAAAGGAGGGCAGCAGGAATGAGAAACAATTTCGGGGTTTCTCTGAAGACTCCCGGCTATACAATGCAGCAGACCCCAGCAGACTGTAGTTTTCCACAGTTTAAATGAGCTCGATCCAGTAAACAAAATGTACCTCAATGTTATTTCATAGCTAAAAAATAGGCACTTCATATATTGAGTGCCTCCCTCTCCCCGCCCCCCAGGTATTTAATGAGTGGTGGTGGTTGGTTGGTGCTCCCAGGGCCAAGCCCGATCGTGAGCAAGCTGGACAGCCCATGCTGGTGGTGGGCAGAGAGGAGGTGGCTCCTATGTCTGGGGCGGGCACTGAGAAGGCCCGGAATGTTCTGGGAGGGCGGAGGCGGGCCCAGGCTGCAGCAGCTGGGCCAAGGATCTGGGGAAGCCACTCTTGCCACTCCCCACCAGCCACCACTGGAAGCCTCTCCCCCAGCATGCTTGGGGCAGAAGGCAGAATTATTAGGCTCTGCATAACCTAATGGCTTTCCCACCACCGGGAGGAAAATGCTTCCCATAACGGCCCTTTGCCTTGACAGTGAAACAGAGCACCACTTGAGCCCTGGAGCTTCCACGAAAATGACCTGCACCTTTTGCGCACCCGGCTTGGCCACAGGGGAGTCGGCATGGTTGGCCCAGATTCTTTGCAACTCATTGGTGTGAAAAAAAGCCTGTGTTCAGAAAATAGGTGGCGAGGGAGCCAGAAAGTTGGAAAGTGATGGGCACTGGGCTCTCTTGGGTTCCATGCCTCCTCCAGGAGCTGGTCCAGTCCCGTGAGGGGTGCTCGGGCTGGAACTTCCTGCAGAGTGTGGTGACATGCACTCCCCTGCAGACCCTTTGGGTCTGGGAGGGGAGACCGCATTCAAAGGGTGCCTCAGCTCACTGCCTGTTCAGTTCTTCTGCATGTTTATTTCTACAGTAGTGCCCTTCCTTGCTAAACTAATCTCAGGGAAAAAGGGTCAGGATTATAATATGAAGATGTGTACGCCATATGATAAAGTACAAAGGAGGGAGCATCACAGAGAAAGTGATGACATTGGAGTTGAGCCCTGATTTGTGGAGAGGAGCTTCCTAGAAGAAAGGAAGGAAGGAAGGCAGGAAGGCAGGAAGGCAGGAAGGCAGGAAGGCAGGCAGGAAGGAAATAGTAACACTAATTATAATAGCTAAGATTAATGAAACACTTACTATGGAACAGGTGGCATTCTAAGTGTTTTCACATATCCATTCATCCAGTCCTTATAGCAACTCTAGGAGGTAGGTGCAATTATTATTACCATTTTACAGCTGAAGAAATTGAGGCACAGAGAGGTTAAGTAACTTCCTCTCAGCCACACAGCTAACAAGGGTCAGAGTCAGGATTTGCACCCACTCCATCCATGGCCTGTGCTCTTAACTCCATCCAGGGAATGTGAGAGTGGGCTGAATGGGGGGACATTCATTCAGGCCATGTGAACAGCCCTGGCTGTATGAAACAGTTTGCTTAGAGAATCTGGTACATTCCAGATGCTCTAGATTATAGGAAAAATGGTAGCATTTGGGAAAAGGTTACATACGTTTGAAAATTTGTAAGACTTGTGATTTAAGTCATGGCATAAGAAAATGCAGTATTTCTTCATTTTTTTAATGTCTAAGGCAAATGTAATTGAAATGATGTTAAAAAGGAACAAACAAAAACACCCAAATGACCAGGAAAAGGAAGAAGAAAAGAAAGTAATGCATCAAACATAAACGGTGAAAAAAAAGTACATACAGAGAAGAGTAGAAAGACATATTTATGTTCTTTGGTATTTTCTAAAGTTTCTAATTTCATAGTCAGAAAATGTGTATATATAAAATAAGTTTTCTTACCGTAATAAAATATATATGTATATACAATGTGTGTGTATATTATACACACACATATTTGTTGTTTTCAATTTTGAAAGGCCCAGATTGACAATTCTAGTAAAAATAACACATACTGGGACATGAAACATTCCAGAAGAGGGCTGAAAAACATTACCTTATATTACTCCAAATTACTATTCTCTGGTGCAAAAATTTATAAACTATAACTTGGTGGAGTTGATATTTTCAAAGTAAGTTAAATTGGGGTTCAGACTATTCATACTTCAGGCAGTCTTTTTAAAAAGGAAGCATTTTAAATGCTTTAAGTAAAATTCCTCCATCTTCATAAAGAGATACTTTTATTAAAAGCTTGAAAATGTGTGCTCACAGTCGAAGGACAGGCAGGGCTATTTTAGAGGAGTTTCACGGGAAAGAGAAATTGAGGTGCCTTGTCCCCTGGACCCTCTCTGAGGGCACAAACAAGTAGGCTGTGAGACTGTTCCAGAATAATACATGCGACTTGATTGCTGGAATGGTTCCTGGGTTTTCGTTATTCTATTGATGTTTTCCAAATGTCAGGATCCCAGTGAAATCTCTTTGAAGCAGATCACATGTGTCCCGCCAGAGACGGCATCCGCTAAGAGCAGCTCCCATCATGGACATCTCAGGCTTGCAGGGGGTGCTTTCACTATGATCCTCTCACCCAGGGCAGGAGACAAGAAGGGCAGGCAGAGCGAAGGGGAAGATCCTGAGTCCGTCTGTAAAATGCAGGCAAGGCCCAGCCTTCTACCGGGAATTCACTCCTTTCTTTCCAGTCTGAAGGTTGTCAGCATCACTCCAAAGTGCCTTCAGGGCAGGGACGGCTCACACACTTGATGTCAGTGACATCAGGTCCAAAAGCAGGAAATGACAGGCGACGGCCGGAGGATGTTGGGACCCCTCCCCCTGACCCTGCCCAACAGCCAGAGAGCTGCTCCTTTTCGGACAGGAGGGTCTTGGGTGGGGGTGGGGGGGGAACCACCTTTCCCCAAAGCTTGCCAAAAGCCTATTCCAGGGGAGAGGGGAGGATGCGCCCGCCCCATTCCCTCCTGCTCCCCTCCCCGGGGTGGGGGGGGGGTTCCCCAGACCCTTGCTGTGTGACAGCGTGCTGGTGCTGCTGATGCCCACATGGAGGAGAGTAAGAGGTCACAGCTGTCGGATGAGTCACCTTAGGCTGGGCAGGCATTGTTTAAAAATCTGCCTGTGTGCCTCTTTGATTAGATTCCAACAGACAACAGGGGCGGGTACTGGGGGAGGAGCGAGCAGATGAGAAAGCAGGCCGGTGCAGACTGGGTGGCAAGAGGAGACAGCCTGGGCAAGGACATGTGCTGCCAGTAACCCACGGGCAGCCCTCCTGTGCCCGGGCCTGCTGTAACCAATGCTGTCATTGATTTATCGACTGCGTGTGTACTAAACGTCCAGGTCACATTGTCTCTTAACATAACAGAACACAACCAGATTTCCATGTGTCAGATACGCTAACAGAGGCTCAGAGAGGGTAGGTGACTTACTTAGCGACCCAACCAGCAGATGGTGCCCAAGCAGAGTGGGCACCATCCATGAGGGTGATCTTTCCCTTCCACAGGTAGGGAGATGCCCACCTGTTAGGGTCCCATGTCCCCAATATTATCCCTTCCAGGTCACATCTTCTATGCCTACTTGGCCCCAAATCCCCATCTTGAAGGAAACAACAAAGACCAAGAAGCAATTACCTCCAGAAAATCTTTATGGCGCTGTGTTATCCGTGAAGTTACCCGGAGCAGGGCCATTCTCTGGAAGGGAAATGGAAGGCTCTGTCTGCTCATGAACAGCCCAAGAAATGGGAACTGGAGGTAGAGATGGGGAGAAGGTGGAGGCCAAGCCCTCAGAATGTGGGAACAACATCAGTGGGAATAGACTGTGCCCTGGGGGCCCAGCTGCATGGGGAGGGGAGAGAGGAGGAGAGAGCCAGGAAACCCATACCCCCCCCCCGGCCCTCCCCCCAGGGCACCAGGCACCTGACCGGTGCTGAGAGGACCCCCGAGGACTGGCTCCCTCAGGCAGGCGTGATGAAGCCATGACGTTGCCCACCTCTGACAGATGCCCACTATTAACACAGCAAGCAGGCTTCATACTTATAACAACAGCATCACCTTGGGTTTTATGGGGGCATTTCTGCTCCATAAACTTGACCTGCTTTCATATAGAGCTTCTCATTTCCTACTCACAAAGCTGGCTGCAGGGCACCTATAATTATCGTCATTTTATAGTTGGAGAAACTGGTCCCAGAGAGGAAAAGGAGTATGTGTGGGCAACAAAAACAGACCCCAGGTCCCCGCTCACCTAGCCCAACGTTCAGGATCATCTTTGAGAACAATTACGATTGGGTGTTACCTCATGCTGACCAAGCCTTTAAAACTCACCTGGGCTTTGTCTTTGTAGAAGGAATCCAGATGACTTCACTTACTAGCTTTGTAGCTAGTCAGCTCTTTGAGCCTCCTTTTCCGAGCTGTGAAATAGGGATAGTAATTATGTATACTCCAGAGCAGAGCTGTTCAATGGAAATACAATGTGAGTCACATAGGTAAGAAAATTTTCCAGTTTAGTCACTACTAGTGTAGTAGTCATTTAAAAAGGTTAAAAAAAAAAAAGTGAAATTAATTTTAAAAATCTATCCAAAATATTATTTTGATATGTAATCAATATACAAAATTAGCAATGTAATATTTTACAGCCTTTTAACTTACTGAGTCCATGCAATCCAGTGACTCTTTTACACTTACAGCACATCTCAATTCAGACTACCCACAGTTCAAGTGTTCAGTAGTCACACGTGGCTTAGTGGCCTTTGAACAGGTCTGTGCAGCTCTCTAGATGGCAGCGAGGATTAGGTGACATATTGAATGTAAGGTGTGGGTACCTCGGGGCTGATGTGCGGCTGTTACATCCTCTCGGACACACACGTACGCATGCAGAATTTTCCACATTTAGATGGCCTTTACAAGGACCCAAGAGCCCAATGCAGACATGAGACAAATCCAGCACCTTCTAAACGGACCATCTTCCTCACAAGTAGAAGTAAAAGCCGCCCCCTCCCCCCATCCTCTCTTTCCTCCAACACAGTTCCCATCTGCTGTCACCGGGGAACCCCCCACTCTTCCCCATCTTGCACCCCCCTCCCCGCGTTTAGACTGGCTGCTGCGAATTCCCACCCGGAATAGAAAGAGAACGTGGCCCTGGGAGGCAGGAAAGCTGAGGAACAGCTGTAGAGCCCACTGACCATTCTAGGCTCCCCGCTCCAAGAGGATACTGGCTGCCTCTCACCTGGCCCCGGGAGGCGAGGACCCTCCCACCCCCGTTCCAGGACCCAGGTTGCCAGCCCCTGTCGGGTGGCCAGAGTGGACGGGTGGGGGGGATGCGGTGTTACTGAGGAGCCAGTGCAAGGTGGGGCCGCGTCGGTGCCTCGAGCCGACCGCGGCGGCCTGGGCGGGAGGCCCCGACACCACCCTTGGCGGCCGGCAGCCGGCGCCGGGAGCCCTCTGGCGAGCCGACAGGCGCGGACCGGGGCCTGAGCGCCCCCGCACCTCGCACCGCGCCCCAGCTCCCCCTCGCGGTGCCGCAGTCCCCGCGGCGCCGCCCCCAGCCCCGCCCGCCATTACGTCATCGCGGGCCAGGCCGGGGAGGGGGCGACTCCCCCGGTATAAAATGCAGCGCTGGGGGGCGGCGACTGGTCTCTGCTGCGGAGTCCGCCGGTCCCGCCGCGCGCACAGCTCCGAGGGCCAGCGCCAACGCCCTCTCCGCAGCCGGCACCATGCGTGAGATCGTGCACATCCAGGCGGGCCAGTGCGGCAACCAGATCGGCGCCAAGGTGGGCGCGCCGCCGTGCAGGGGCCAGGGAGGGGGCGGCAGGCC